GAAATAATAAGAGAAGACCCGGATTTAGTAAGTTATTTATTATTTTAACTTTTATTTATTTATTTTATTAATTTCTATTTAGATACCTTTATTACAAAGTCTTAACCAGGCTATTAGAGTTAGTGCTAAAAAATTAGATTATTATTTTCTAAAAAAAAGTAACGAACGAAGTTATCGAGGGTTATAGGGCTTATTTATTAGCTACCATTTTAGACCCTCGAATTAAACTAACTCACTTTCAACGAAATTATAAATTATTCTTTTATAACGACGCTATGGACGATATTATTTCTTTTTTTAAAGAAGCTTATTAATTGTAAATTTATTTTATTCCTTTTATTATTCCTTTTATTATTCCTTTTATTATTCCTTTTTTATTTCTTTTGCTAATAAATAATTTAAAAGCACTAAAAATAAACGAGAGGGTGAAATTAAAACCCAATCCGTTAACGAAAACCAATTACAAGATAATTCGGATAAAAAAAGTTTCTTTTTAAATCGATCTACCGTTATTTTAAATAACGAATATAAAGCTTATCTTAACGAACCGTTGGCTTTATATAACGTAAGTTAATTTTTATTTATTTATTTAATTCTTTTATTTATTAATTATTTAATAGGACGATCCGATACTTTATTGGAAAAATAACCAATTTAAATATCCGGTTTTAGCTATTATAGCCCGGCGATATTTAGGTATTCCCGCTTCTTCAGCGGCTTTAGAACGGGTTTTTTCAACTTCAAGTTATATTATTTCTAAAGCACGAAATAACTTATCTCCAGAAACTATTAAACAGTTAACTTTATTAAAAAGTTGGGGTTTAAAAAGTGCAAAGGAAATACAAGAATTCTTACAGCCGGACGATTTATCAGAGGAGGAAGATTAATTATTTCTTTTATTTCCTTTTATTTCCTTTTATTTCTTTTATTTCTTTTATTTCCTTTTATTTCCTTTTATTTCCTTTTATTTCCTTTTATTTCTTTTACTTCCTTTTATTTCCTTTATTTCCTTTGTTTCCTTTTATTTTTTTTATTTCCTTTTATTTCCTTTTATTTCCTTTATTTCTTTTATTTCCTTTTATTTCCTTTTATTTCCTTTATTTCTTTTATTTCCTTTTATTTCCTTTTATTTCCTTTTATTTCCTTTATTTCCTTTATTTCCTTTTATTTCTTTTATTTCCTTTTATTTCTTTTATTTCCTTTTATTTTCTTTATATAAATTTAATTAATAATATTAATAAAATTAAATAAACGCTTTATTAATTTAATTTAATTTTATCGTAGTTAATTAGTTAGTGTAGTTATTAACTAAACTACGGTAGTTTAGTTTTACTCAAGGGCCTAACTAACTACCGTAGTTTTACTCAGGCTGCTAACTAACTACCGTAGTTTTACTCAGGCTGCTAACTAATTACGCGTAGTTTTAGTTAATACTCCCAAAAACTACTCGTAGTTAGTTATTAACTAAACTACGCGTAGTTCGTAGTTAACTACGCGTAGTTAACTAGTAGTTAACTAAATGCCAACCCTGATTATTATAGATTTTTAATAATTCTTTTTACGTTTATTATTTTAACAATAAAATTAAATTAAAAAATTATTAATTTCTAAAAAATAAAAATAAATAATTATAATAAAGATAAAAACTTAATTATAACGGTATTTTATTTATTTATAATTCTTTTATTTTATTACGTTTTAAGCGTTTAAAAATAAGATAAATTTTTAATAATTTAAATAAATCGTAATTACGTAATTAATTATTAATTAATTACGAATAACCAGGGTTGTGAAAATTAATTTAAGTTTCCAGTTCTAGTTCCAGTCATTAACTAACTAGGCAGTTAAAGTTAGTATTTTGCTAACTTAAGTTAGTTACAATTAGCAGGTTAAATAACTGGGCCAGTTCCAGTTAATTTAAAAACTAACTTAAATTAGTTATAATTCGTATTTTATTAACTGGCCAGTTAGTCCCAGTTAACTAGCAGTTATTTTAATTTTGTTAATTATAAATCGAATAAAAGATTTAAATATAAACCTTTAATATTAATTAAAAGAACGTAAATTAAATAATAAAACTACGGTTTTATTTTTAATTTCTTTTTATTATTCGATTTTTTTATTTATTAATAAGTTATTTTATATACCCAGTTAATTAGTCCAGTTTTTCCAGTTTAACTTAAGTTATTCCAGTTAAAGTTAATATAAATAACTGCCTAGTTAGTTATAATTAGCAATTTAAAAAACTTAAGTTAGTTCCAGTTACAGGGTAAGCTAACTGGGCCAGTTCCAGTTAGCAGTCGAACTAACTTAAGTTAACTGGAACTAGGCCCAGTTTAACTGCTAGTTAACTGTTTCACAACCCTGCGAATAACTAAAAACTACGGTAATTAGTTAGTAGCCTAAGTAAAATTACCCGTAATTAATTACCTAAGTGACCAGGGTAAATAAATTAGTTTGAGTTTTCAGTTTAAGTTTAAATTAACTTAATTAAGTTAAGTTTTACTCAGGGTGCTAATTAAATTAATAAGTTTAAGTTTTAATTTTTATTAACTTATTAACAGGTTTGGTATTTAGTTAACTAATAGTCAACTAACGTTAATTAACTAAAAACTACATTTAGTTTAGTTTTTAGTTAACTAAATTTAGTTATTTAAAATGCTAACTAAAATTAAATTGATTTAGTTAGCAGCCTGATTAAAACTAAAGATTTTAGTTAATAAGGTGATTAAAACTAAACTAAACTAAATAGTTTAGTTTTTAGTTTTAGTTAACTAAATAACTAAAGGTTTATTTTCATTTTTAATTTATTTATCTAATTAATTATAATTAAAACAACTAATAAATATAATAAATTAAAGCTTTTTTTAATTAATTACGTTATTATTTTTATTTTATTTATTTTAATTAAATAATTATAACGTTTTTAAAAATTCTTTAGTTAACTAAACAATTAACTAAAACTAAATTGATTTAGTTAGTATATTAACTATATCTAAAGTGATTTACTTAGCAGCCTGATTAAAACTACGTTAGTTTAGTTAATAGCCTGAGTAAAACTAAGTAGTTTAGTTAACTAAAAATTAAAACTAAAAACTAAAACTAATCATACCAACCCTGCTTATTAAGTTTAAATTTACCTATTAATTAAATTATTAAATTTTACTCAGCCTTTTAATTAAATTAATTAAGTTTTAAGTTAAACTTAATAAATTTAAATTAGCATTTTACTAATTTAAAGATTTTTAAATTATTAATTTAAAATCGAATTAAATTAATAAAATTATAATTATACCGTATTTATATTATTTAAATTCGGAATTATTATTATTTATATTTAATATTATTTTATTTATTTTATTTAATAATTTATTTATTTAAATTAATTTACGGGTAAGCTAAATAAAACTTAATTTAATTCAAATTAAATTAACTCATTTAAGTTTTACTTAGCCTGCTAATTAAATTAATTAAGTTTAAATTAGCAATTTTAATAATTTAATTAAATTAAGTTAATAACTAAATTAATTAAATTTGAGTTAAATTTGATTAAATTAACTGCTAATTAACTCAATGCTAACCTTAAATACAAAGCATAAATAATTAATAATAAAAAGCATTTATATTAATATTATAAAGCGAGCTTCAAAAAAAGGGGCAAAAAAGGAAGGTATTAAGCGTAATTTAATACGATAATTAAATATATAATTAATCTTTATAACTAGGGTTTGGAAACAGTTAACTGGCAGTTAAACTGGGCCCAGTTCCAGTTAACTTAAGTTAGTTCGACTGCTAACTGGAACTGGCCCAGTTAGCTTACCTTATAACTGGAATTAATTTGAGTTTTTTAAATTACTAACTGTAACTAATTAGGCATTAACTATAATTAGAATAATTTAAATTAAACTAAAATAACTGGGCTAGTTAATTAGTTATATAAAGTAATTTATTTAATAATTAAAAAGTAAATAATAATAATAAAATAAAAATAATAATATTGGGCGTAGCCCAACACAATGACTAAGCAGATGACTAAGCGCGCAACGCTTAGCGTTGCTATATAATAGATTGGCCTACGGCCAATCCGTAAATAGGAAATGCATGCTTCTACCACACTCTCTCTATGACCCAATGGTGCCTAACAAATAAGGTGTTTTTATTTTTTTATTATTTTTCTATTAATAAATTATAAAACTTTATATTTTATATTTTTATTCGATTTTTAATTAATAAAATTTAATTAACTACTAATTAATTAAAACTAACTGGCCAGTTAGTAAAATACGAATTATAACTAACTTAAATTAGTTTTAAAATTAACTAGAATTAGCTTAGTTATTTAACCTGCTAATTGGAACTAATTTAAGTTAGCATTTCGCTAACTTTAATTGCCTAGTTAGTTAATAACTGGAATTAGAACTGGAAACTTAAGTTAATTATTTAAACCTTATTTATAACGCTTTAACGTTATTATAAAAAATTAACCGTAAGCTAAATTATAAATAATAATGCATGCTTTTATTATTTACCGTTTATAATTAATATAATATTTAATAATAATTTAATTAATAAATTAAATAAAATTACGTAATTTTATTTATTTATTTATTTTGCTTCGTATTATTTATTTATTTATATTAATTTTAATAAATATAAATTATAATATATATATATATATATATATTTAAATTTATATAATTAATTATATAATATAAACCTTTATTATTTATATATAATCGTTTCCATAGCCGCGTCTTATATATAACCGCCTGGCAAAAAGCCCATGGTAACGAAATTATATAATAGCCCAGCAGGAGAAAGCTAGTGGCGTAGGTGGTATTAGCTGAAAAGATGACACAGCATCTGGCATCACTTCTTCTCGCCTAGCCTCGCTTTACCCTATATATCAAAAAAGGACAAAATAAACGTCGGCCCCTCCCCCACCTCATCCATTCCACATCCGTACACATGCAATTCGTCAAGGTATGTAGCCAGCCGGCCTAGACATAGACGCGGCGGTGGGAGTGGTGCGAGCTTCTGCTCCGGCGGCTGTGAGGGCTGCGGCTGTGTCGGTGGCCGTGTCGGTGGTAGTGAGTCTCGCGGTAGTAGGTCTTGCGGTCGGCGCTGCTGGTGCGGTCGCCGTGGAACCAGGCCAGGATGGCAGTGAAGAAGAAAAAGACGCAGTTCATGATGCCAAAGGCGAAGCAGGCCTTGAGCATGGCGCACGTCTTGTTGACCGTGGTGTCGATGCCGTAGTTGGAGTGGGCCGAGCCAAAGGGCCCAAAGTAGAGGTCAAAGCCGCTGTTATTGGTGACGCGCACGCAATCGGCGTGGGCAATGTCGCGCAGATACCAGACGGCGGCAATGAAGGCGCCCACAAAGCCAAGATCGATAATGGAGACAAACAGGGCATTGGTAGACGAGCGGTGGTAGCTGAAGAGGGTGAAGATGGCCCAGGCAAGCGCGAGCACCGAGACGATGAACAGGACGAGTATGTAGTTGGGCGTCAATGCGTTGTTCTCGACATAGCCGTGGACGAACCAGGCGAGCATGCCCATGGTAGGAATCTGTGCGGAGAGCAACATGTTAGCTTGTTATGCCCCAGGCTTGGGAAGCGAAGGTGTAGAAGAAGAATCAAGGGTTGTCGGCGATTTTTCATGCAATGCGATGCGATGCGCCAAGAGACAAACAGCGAGGGCATTCACAACAGACAGATAGACAACATACCAGGGTGAGGATTTGCATGAAGCGCCAAAAGGCGAAAAAGACGGCGAACAACATGGTGAAGATATGGCGACAATCGCAAAATGCACAGGACGAACAAGTGAAAACTACCGAAGTGGTTGGGGATATACAGAGGGGGGGGTCGTTCGTGTTTCTTGAGCCTCGTGACGCGCGCGCAATTTAGCGGAGAGAAAGGGAAAGAGACAAGCGCTCCAAAGCTGACAGGGAGAGATGCCGTAGATATGTATCTCTGTCTGTCCGGTTTGTTATATGTATGGTGCGACAGCGAGCGTGTACGTGGTACAACCGCCTACCATGTAAATAGGACGAGAAACGGATGGGGGGGGGGGGGGGGGGGGGGGGGTTAGGTATTTGTGTGTGTGTGAGTATATGTGGCTGCAGCAGGCGTAGTGCGTTGCAACCTGTTCGCGCAGGGGTGATGCCCGGTTTTTGTCAAGACGTGAGAACAAAGTCGGGATACCGGGAAGGGCGTAATGTTTGGCAGCTATGATTACTGACAGGCAGGAGAGGAGGGAGAGATTTGGGGCAAATCCGGGTGTTTGGATCCCCCAGTCTCGCAGTTGAGATTGTTTGTTGCTTATTTGTTTTTCTTTTTCTTTTCCCCTCTCGTTTGTCTTGTTTGTAGAGAAACAACAGGCACACAGATGAAGAGTATCTATAAGTGTCGAGATGAGGTTGGCGGCTGAGATGGTATCAACCAGAGGGTGGTGCTAAATGGGAATGGCCTCAAGCGACGATAAACGGTATTTGAGGGGTCCTCCCAAGAAAGGTAATGGATATTGGATGTGCGTAGTAGTACTATTTGGGTGATGGATCGCGAACTTTGGTGACTGACTGAGTGACTGGGCTTGACTGCGGGATGACGTCGATATCTGCGTAGATGACAGACGGCGACAAAGTCAATTTCCAGGTAAATATGTGATGGGTTGGGCTGGGAGGGGGATTACGCGAGCGAGCGAGTGCCAGGGGGGCCACGACGACGACGACAACGACGACTCCAAGATCGGATCTGACCGTGTTTTCCCAATTTCGTCCAATAGGCAAACGATTAGAGGCAGAGGATCCGGGCCAGGATAGATGTGAGAAAACAACCCCCTGCTCTTATTGTGTTGTACTATAGAGTGGTGTCAAGTTTGTTGTGTGTTTTGATTCCACTGGCAGCCAGGGACAACCGGGTGCTTCCTGTTTCTTTTTTTCTTTCTTTCTAGACTCTCTCTGGCTATCCTGTCCGGGATAGATGGACCTTAACCTAGACAGGGTAGTTTGGCAGGGAATGCGATTCAGGGCAAAAGTCAAGAGTGTGCTGAATGAGGAATGATCTGTTCTCTGTATACTGTCCTGATGTCAGGAACAGGCAGTCCCAGTGATGTACTCCGCGGCAGTATGCAGACGGTAGACTGGAGCTTAAATAAGGTTGGTGGTGTGTCGAGGTTATTGGATGGACGGACTGGACCAAGACAATTCGGATTCCTCAGACTTTTAAGCTGGATGAGGGGAAGAAAAGAGATAAGTCGAATTCATCGCAATTGGTTTCTTTTACTTCTATGAAAGCCCGAGGGCTGTTTCCCTCTTCCAGGGGGGATTCTTGAACAGCTCGAAAAAAAATGGCGGTGGTTGGTTAGGCTCCTTTCTTTCAAGACAAATTCATGGGCTGGGGAATACGACATTTTTGGCCTGACGCAACAAGCGCCAAGCCTAGGTAGGTATTCAATACAGCCCTCTTTTTTATTCCCTCCTCCCCTCCTCAATTCATATATACTAAGACTTACCATTGTACATAATAGTGGATAAAAGAGAAATAAAAATAACCATGTCATATTTTCCGTACCGTACAAGCAGAAGGCTTGTCAAGGACATGGATGAAGCGTCTCACCATTATCAATTAATCTAGGTACAGCAAATCTGGGTGGTTGGGAGTTTAGATAGGTACTAGGAAGACACGCATGTGCTAAAAGGGTCGAGACCCATAAAAGAAAAAATTACCTAATGTAGGTACTGCCGTATTCCGCCAAGACTTGTTGTACGTCTGTTTTATTAATGTAGTTTTGGATGTCTGCAACGAAATATCACCAACTTGACCACTCCCAATAATCTTGTAAACAGGTGCGTAGTCGTGTGATCTCCTCTTCCCCGAACAGAAATTGCCATTAAATGCATCATCTACTACAATCAGACCGTTCAAGATTGAATCATGCTCAAGCTCGAGCCTCCCTCTTTCTCTCCCTCTGACATGCTCTTTCACCTGATCAAAACCTGGCAGGAAATATGTCTTATAAATGTATCCATGCCTTGCGTTAAGCTCGGTACCTGCATTGTCTGCCCTTGCGCCTCGTTCAGTCGTTTCCAGCGGTCCCATGTACGCATACATGCATTACTGGCCACATTGCAGGATCTGTCAAAAATATCAGGTAACCACCAATAGGGTACTGCAATAGACACGTGTCGTGCAAGTACAGATGGATATAGGCATGCTTACCTACTATTGCTCGACTCGATGGTTACAATGATGAGTTCGGGTCAAGGAATATACCATTGAGCATAACAGCACGGGCGACATGTATAAAATGAATATATATCCTAAGACATGAACACCACAAGAGAAGTTGTAAATATCCATAGTTTATTACGTGTGAAGATTGTCCTAAACATGGCTACCTTTCCATCAACGCCGGGCAAAACGCCATCCCTTATTGGAGCCCCCAGTCCCAAAATATCCCCTTTGTAGAAAATCAGGACCCAGATGCTCCAGTGTATGATGCCGACCGAGTATAAGCAATATATAAAAAAAAAAAAAACTCCCAAAGATCATGCTTGAAATCAGCACTTCCTCTTTTAATTTTCCCGGTGGCAGATAACCCATTTCATTCGTAAAATCTCTCGTTCCAATCGTACTGTAACATGTCCGTAGGCGCGGGCCACCACGACATGAGGGGACCTTCGATTTCGGCAACGTGCTCGATAATAGCCATGCCAGTCCGGCTGGCCTTGTCGACCCAGTCATACTCCATGTCCTCAATGGGAGTCGGCCACCATGACATGAGCGGACCTGTTATCGAAGCAACCTGGGGTTCTGTCTTGTCGACAAACTGGACGTGCTTGGTTGCCTCTGTGTCGCCGATCCTCTCCTGTGTTTCTCGCGGCTTGGGTACAGCCTCGCCTCGCCGCAGGATAGGCCGAGCATTTGCGGCGGCATCCTGCCGAGTCCCACTGCTCTTCTCATCGTCTTGGCGTTTCTCGACGTCTTGTTGTTGCCCGAGGAAGATGGGGAACTCAAAGTCGTCGTCCGAGATGGACATGGTCCCGCCTCGGCGCCGGGATGGGGACGGGGGAATCTCGACATCGCTCTCCTCCTCAGTGTCGCTGATTATGGCACTCTCGTCATCCGACGACAGGTCGTGGTGATCGCTCACGAGTGGGCTCTCCAGCTCCAGCGGGGTCTCTGCTTCAACATGGTCGTCGACCTTGTTGATCATGATGTGGCTGTCATGGCCCGCCGTTTCCAGGAAGAGTAGATGTGAAAGGTCGTCTTCGTTGAAGATGGCTACCTGACACGAGGTCGTGTTCTTGTCCAAGGAATCGTCCTCGAACCGACTTGTGCGTGCTGCTGCTGCTGGTTGGTTGAATTTGAACATGTGCGATAATGGTAGGTTCAAGTCAAAAAGTTAACAACCTTGACTTGTAATAGTAGTGATGAAGTGTAAGGTGTAGTTGGTCAGGTATTGACGTATCTCGTGGGTTTGTGTTATTGTGTGATGTCTGAAGTTCTGGTATATCGAGACTCGATGGACCAGCTCTGGGTGAGTCCTATATACATACAATCATCAATGGGCTGCTTGCTGCTCTTTGGCCCAGCCAGGAGCAGGCCGGCTTGGCTGGTCCGACCCTGTTTCGGCATTGTATAGGCTCCTCCCGCCAAAAAGACAATTAATCGTAAGTTGCCTGAGATTTCTGAAAACTCAATTACACCTATTGCATTGCCCTCCCGAGCCATTCTCGTTTCATGGCCCAATCTTGTAGCCATTGCAGGTTCCTCTGTCTGCGTGACTCGAATGATTTCCAGGTCGCCGGCGGACTCCGCGTAGCGCAGAAGCGCTGCACTGTAACAGAAAACAGTGGGCAGTCGTATGATCGGAGCGAACCGGCCTCTGTGCTGGCTGCCCGAAACCACCCGACGGCTCCAGTAATGAATGATGCTGCTTCGAGACTGGGCCATTTTGCCTTCCAGACACGGCAGAATCATGCATCGGGGGCGAGCAAGGAAACTGTAACAATGCGGTCGACCAAGTTCTAGAGCAGGAATGATCTTGGGACTCTGCGCTCGCTATATGAGTGCATCCAGGGCTGGCCGTCTCTGGCCCCAACAACCGATTCTTCTTTCCTTTCCTTAACCTATTCATGATTTTCCCGCAAACTGAGTATCTCGGCGACTCATCACATGGCCCAATTTCCAGGTCGTGAAGATGCCCATCTCGGATATGGGGAGAACAAAAGCATTTACGAAGACTTCCTGCAGCTACCCTGCCCAGCGTCGACTTGCATTGGACTGACTAATCGTGTCTGAGTCGAAAGGCAGAGAGCAAGTGCACATTTATCTGGGCAAGTTGGAAAAGGAAAACGTCCATCTAATCGCGTTCATATTGAGAGTTAGTTCTCCCGAGCTGGTTCTATTCTTTATACAGTTCAGCATGGACCTCGGGTCAGCACACGCAGCCTCATCCAACGAAGGCAGAGTAGAAAAAGACAAGGCAAGGGCAAAGTACAAAGTACTACTAGGAGAAGTGGGTATTCTGACTTTATTTGCCAAGTGCTTCTAGAAGGAGACGGGTTGAAGGTCTTATACTAATCCGCAGCGAGTATGAGAGAGAGAAAGAGACAGAGACAGGGAGACAGAGAGGTTCGGTCGGGACCAATCAGGACTATCCACAGGTGGTAAAGGACGAGCCAATCCAGTGTCTTGGAGGCTTCTATAGCGGGTCACTACTGGGGGCAAGTGGCCTGATTATCAGGCCACCACCGCAGCCTGGTTAGCTGTCGACGCTGTCGACTCGAGCGAGCACATGACAGATGCTGACACCCAACGACGAGCAAATCAGAAAATACTTCCAAGGCCTTTTTCTCCTACTTACCTGAGGCCCTGGCAAATCAATGCCAAATAAAGTCTTGCCGGCCGAAGTCGGTGCCGAGTTAGTTAAAGGTAGGTAGTTTGTGGCCATTGCGGCTAGGCCTCAGCTCCCAAATGGCTCATCCAAATGTTGAAATAACACCATCGGCTTGGTGTTTTCCTCCTCTTAATCTTCTCTCGTTTCTAATCATAACCACCACTACCACAACCACCCTCCTCTGCTGCTGTTGAACGATTCCTTTCCGCGCTCTGCGATCACAGCCGTATTTGGAATCTAGCACATTCTCTCAGATCGACCATCTATCAGTCTTGACAGAACCATTGATCAGGACCAGTTACTCACTGCCCTCGACGCCTCCGTCGTTTGCTGTGTGTCTCGCGTGTGCCGATTGACACTATTCGATACCTCGGACTGTACCAATCTTTGAGGGGAAAGGAACAATAAGACAACAAAGTAAAGAAGCCAGCTAGCAACATGATAGTCACTCGTCTCATTTCCCTCACCAACTTTGTGGTGGCGTCTTCAGCCCTGGGATTTCAGGTCTTTGTCCTGTACCCGTGGCATAAGCAGCTGGACGAGTCGTTCGAGGAACTCAAAAAGGAACATGTCAAGGTCTTGGACGCGGTCAGAGACGTTGCAAAAGAAATCGACCCAGACTCGCGCAAGGGCATCCGGAACACGATACTGGGCCGCCTGGGGATGAGCACGTCGACAAACGCATGAGTGCTCGATTCCTAGTATGTCATGCATGCCCATTGACAACGTCCGTCGATTATCTCACAACAACCGGGGCCCCCTCCCTTCTTAAATGTCCGGAGGACGGCCCGGCGTGGCTCGACTTGGCGGAGGATGGACCTCCGAGGACTGGGTGACTATTGTACCGGAGCGGCATGGTATTGGTGGAAACCATCAGGATAACGGGGGTTCCTTGTAACCGTCCCCCACCGTTGCCATAATTCCACCCCGACAGCGTGGGCCGACTGCTCAGCACAAGGGCAGCATTCGAAATCCCCCCAGTTTATCGAGATGACTGGGAGCTCTTCTTTTAACTTCTGTCCGAAATAGATTTGGACGGCAGCACGACGCGTGATCTCAGCTTCGAATACCACCTTGGCGTGAATGCAGGGGGGCATACTACTACACATAAATGTCCACCGATGCGTCGAAAGCGGGTTCATCTCCGCTATTATTTGTCTGATGTGGTTATCTCATGGAGCATGTTGATCGTATATAGATAGAGGCGGGTATAGATTAATCTACAGACCACTTGCCATAATTCACCCATACACCTTGTCTTTCTCTTTCACCAGTCTATCTAGCCATGACCAGACTTGGCCTTTTCTCGGCGCTGGCCACTGCCGCGACGGCGCAACAATCTGCCTGGGGACAGTGTAAGTGCTCAAGCCCCGTTGCAGAGTAGCAGTCCTTGCTGATTCCATGGTCAAGGCGGAGGAACAGGCTGGTCTGGCGAGACGGTCTGTGTGAGCGGCTATGCCTGCTCTAGCATCAAGTAAGCGCTGAGAAGACGTCACACCCAGCCGTTATTTATACCCATTGCTGTTCTTGTCACCAATACTCGTCTCCAGCGCATACTATTACCAATGTGTTCCGGGGTCGACTACGCAGCAAACCTCGACTGCGGGAGCTACCACGACTGGCGGCACAACGACGGCAACGACGACAACGATAGCTACCACGTCAGCCGGCAACACAACTCCCACAGTGTCCTCAACCACATCTGCTCCAAAGACGCTCGTCTCGGGTTACTACTGGATCAGGGCCGTCGAATCTCCAAACTACCACTCGTACCTACAGGCGGCCCCAACGGCAACGCCGTCCCCGGGGCCTGGTGATGCCTACTTGCTCTCACCGGGTGCTGCAGGCCAGTTCAATGTGGTCGACGGCCAGCTTGTCTATTACACTGGGGGAAGTGACCTTTTGTACATGGGCGTGGAGAACCCAACCAACAAGTCGCAGCGTACGCTAGAGACGTGGTTCAACAGCACCGAAAACGATTACGGTACCTTTGCCTTCCAGGGCGATACGCTGACGTGGAGCGTCGAGGATATCAGCAGACCCAACACTGCAGCCTGGCTAGTCTGTGGTGACGAGGGTCAGCTGTATATCAATACTGGGGCATATGCTTACGAAACTCCGGATGGGTGTTCCGATGAGACTGTACGTTGAAAACCAAAAGACACAACGTGGCGATCCAGCTATTTGACAGCTCCCCTAACCGATTGCAGATACATTATTATGGAGGCTCCACGGCAGATCTTTAGATTTGTTATAGAAGCCCGTAGTAAATTTGAGCGACAAGCCCTGTTGGCCGAAGCAGTGCGGATGAGACCCAGAGTGTATAAAGGACGTCATATTGGACGTATATGGTCATGTCGTGGTTCTCTTAATTAATGATCACCGAAACGATGACGTGGTGATTACAAGACCCGGACGCTGTCAATTGCAAGAACCAAGTTTGCTTCAATGGGGATATATTCATTTCATTGGACTATTGTACTCGTGTATTCATGGCAAGCCGAAAATGGGGAGATGCGTTGATATCTCCTCCCATCATCATGCCCGCAACCCCAACTCTCGAATAAAGATATCGGCGGCCTTTTCACCAATTGCCAGGGCCGTGTTATTGGTATTTGCGCCCACGTTCTCTGGCGGGATACTCAGGTCGGCAATCTTGAGGCCCTCGACTCCATGCACACTCAAATTCGCATCAACAACACCCATCTTATCGCGTGGTGCCATCTTGCAGGTGCCCAGCGAGTGCCATGTAGTGTTCACGTTCTCCCGCAGCCACTGCTCGATGGCAGCATCATCCTCGGGTGTGTAATCAATATTCTGTACATTTTCGAGAGGCGCATCCGTGTCGGCAACGGCTGCCTTGGACCCCTCGGGGAAGCGAGGGTGACCAACGGCAAGCTCGCCGCGGAAGTTCTTCATGCGCCGCATAATCTCTCGGGACTTCTTGTATGCCCATAATTGTTTCTTCAGGTCGATATCGTGATCATCGCTAAAGAAGCCAGTCTCGAAGTCGAGAGGGTCATCGAGTCCCGGGCCGGTAATGTGCATGTGTCCTCTAGAGTAGGGATAGGCTGTGTAGTTGCCCACAGTGACATATTGGCCCACTGGCACGCTCGCAGGGTCACCGAGGAAGCTATCATTTCGGGGTCAGATTCCGCCTACCAAAGTTTCATGCTCGCCAACTTCGTAGATACATACCAAGAAACAAGTCCCATCAACATCAAGGGACGAGAAGGAGCATCTTTAAAGTCCTTGTCCCATGCGCTCTGGAACTCGGGACCCATCGCAGCGATATCCTCATCGGTGGGACGAAGCTTTGCCGATATGTCGACAGCGTTCCAACCCAATATCGGGTCGTTCTTTTCAATCATGGCGCCAACATCGGCTCTGCCACTGAGTATGCCGTCAATGGTCTCGCCGGGCTCGAGGCTCGTCTTATACGGGTAAAGGACAAGGTTGTGGTCCTGGTAATCGTGGCCGACGCCTGGGAGATCCTCAACCACGGGAACACCAGCCCGCTTCAGAATCTCGGGGTTACCAACACCAGATCTCTCCAAGACGGGCGGCGTTCCGCAGGCGCCGCAAGCGACCACCACCATCTTGCGTGCCTTGACAACACGCATGGGCGTTTGGGTTAGATTGGTCGTGGTCTGGAAAGCAGGGTTTCGTCGGTACTCGATGCCAACTGCCTTCTTCCCTTCAAGGAGAACTCGGTGCACCTGGGATTCTACCACGACGTGGAGGTTCGGGTACCGCCCACTGCCGAGCTTGGGGTGCAGATAGGTGTGGGCAGTGTCTTGACGCTTGCCATCAGTCGAGACATATCGAAGCCAGCGTTGGTAGCCATTGTTTGCATCCAGGTCCTGCAGGTCTTCTATTTCTGGCCAGCCCACCTGCTCTGCGGCCTGTAGGAAGTCGTCTTCTGTTTTGCTTGCCCTGAATGTGCTGTTGGATACTGTGATGGGGCCGTCGTGACCATGGACGCTCTTGTCGCCAGGGCCGAGGTATGTTTCGAGCTTTTTGCATGGTCAGCAAGCCGCGGGAGGAGAGGCCCTTTTACGGAAAGAGATGGATACATATCCACGTGTATATCGTATACATACCTTGTTCATAAATGGGAGAAACTCATCGGCTGACCAACCCGGAGTGTTCCAGGCATCAATATCAGGCCGTTGTGCTCTTGTGTACATCATAAAGTTGATAGATGAGCCACCACCTAGCATTCCTCCAGAAGGCACAATAGGCTCTCGGCCAGCAAGCCGCTCAGACTTGTTGCCCTTGTAGAAAATTGCAGTCTTGCTAGTAGGTAAAAGGTGCTGTAGGAAGAATGCCGGGTTGACGACGCTTGGCTCATTGTGGTTGTTGGGGCCTCCCTCGACCATCAGAATGGACAAGTTTGGGTCGGCCTCGGCGATCCTCGAGGCGACAATACAGGCAGCGGTTCCTCCTATACAGATTGCCGTGTTGAGTATGGTATAACCAATTTTTCGATATATGAGGGTTTGTTCCGGAGCTTACCTCCTGCAATGATAACGTCCACCTCCTTTATGGAGTCGTCAAGTTGAGTGTACACGCCCATTGTGAAATAGAAAATATCTGCAAAACGACTCTCTTTGTGAAAATTGTTCTCGTGGGAAAGAGAGAGAGAGAGAGAGATGGAGATGCTCAAATCGGATTACCCAGAACAGGGCAGCGCGACACCCCGCACTTTATACATGAGAGGTGAGGCTCGCCAAGCTCGACGAAACTACCTATCATAGGGTCTCTCAGGTTGATTCCGATCTATACCTCGAATTAAGCGTGTGTGAGTAGCTCGTTCGCAAGTAACTACCTCGCAGCCCCTCTCTCACTCCCTAAGATCAGTCAGATCCACCATACTGGAACGGCCACGCTGTTCGAGGCTAACGCTGTACGAATTAAGCTGAGCCATCATATCATGTGTCCTGACGACTTGTCGATCGTCGTATCTGCCGATAGCGTGCTGTGGTGCATATAAAACTATACAAAAGTGAGTGGGGCCCTTTGGGTCTCCGGGGAAGGGCCTATCGTGGCAAAGATGTTGAACTTGTTCCTAGGGAGCCCGCCATGGCGTGAAGGGGTTTCCCAGGGGTCACGACATATGTATGTACAGCCAGTCTGTACATATATGGGTTATTCCAAGGGCCCAAGTAGAAGAGTCAGGAGAGGGAGGGGCAGCCATGAGGGTTCTCGTATCTACAGTGTCATGAAAACATGTGAGGATACCATAGGTAGGTGATTAGTAGACAGGTACGGCATGCTAGCATGAAGCCCCTCGTCTTGTAAAGGAAAGGACAGCGCAGATTTGGTATTGAATGAATGTCCACATCTGCTTGGCTCTCCCTTTCCACCCCAGCCCTGGGCCCCCCAGCTTTGCCCCAGCTCTGCCCCAGGGTTTCCTCGAGGGACTCAAATGCGTGCTGCCGCTGCCCGCCTGTTCTAACAATTTTCCCCCGCTCATGGTAGCAGCAGGGTCCTTGAGGGCTGGGCTCATCCAAAGAGAGAGAGGGTTCGCCGCTGATCCGCTCAAGATGGGGCTGGGCTTGTAGTACGATGTTTCCCCTCCCCCACGCCGTCGTCGTCGTCGTCGTCGTCGTCTTCGTTCCTTTGCAAACTATTGTATAATCCCAACAAGGGCGGTTTTGAACCCGCGCATTCCGTGGTTTCTAAGCGGAAATAAGTTGATAACCTGCTAAAGACCATGGTCAAGGACATGCCCGCTTTGGGGAAAATAGAATAAAATAACCAAACCGTTTTCATTTCCCCAGCTTCTCCAGGCGCGACTAGTGGGCTAGTCTTACTCTCCAATACTCCTCGGCTAACTATACTAGGTCTGGCCGCCTGAGCTGAGCAGTCGATCCCAAACAGTCGAGGGCGGGGATAATGGGGGATTGGGACAGGGCGACTCCACTCGCATTGCAGACGACTTGAGACGGATCTATCTTGGATCTGTCTTTGTCTCTACTAGCATCTTGTACACTAAGTATATGCCTGGCAAGCCTGGTGCCTTGATCTCGAATACACCGCCCCCCTCTCCCTCGGGGCCTCGAGGAGATCTTTCTGTAAGATTCCTAATGAATTAAAATAAAATAAAAACGTCCGGATTCCAGAGAGCGCCGTGCCACGTGGAGACCTTAGATCGCCCGCTGCGCCGGTCTCCTTGCTAGTAGAAACGACTATACGTAACCGGACTCGCTCGACTGATAGCAGGACTTCGCCTATAGCACCACTCTCTCTCACTCTTGTAAGCGCTTCCTTGTTCACCCCCATAATATTGCCGCGAGTCAGGACGTCTCCTTTGGAATATGGAATCAATGGGAACCAACTCACCAGCATTTCATCTCAACCTTTGACGCGGATCAGCAATTCTACATGTGAGGGGCAATACTCAACAAGTCAATAGTGGAAATTTCGAGGATACTGCCCATCCATCTTCCAATAGATCTATCCTATTTCGACGATCGTGAGGCGGCCGACTGCCTGCAAAGATTCCATTTGCCAAGGAATTTGGCGACTAGTATCTCTAACGACGCCAGACGGCTCTCGCTGGGTTGCCATTTTCCTGGGTGCATGCTGTAGGCTGTGGCCCGTGAGCGAGCTCCATCTGCTTTGGCCTGTGCCTGGGTCATCATTCACCCCTCTCGCGCTCTGTCTCTCTCCCCCTCTCTTTCCCTGTCACTCTCACCATCCCCCCTCGCCATCTTTTTCTCCTTCTGGCTTGCTGGTCGAGAACATATGATACGTATTGGCTTGCGGAATATAGAATGCCATCGATGAGCCTTACCTATGGATCGCCGCATCCACTCGTCATGGCTTGCCGCCTTTCTGCCCTAAGAGGCGACCATGCTAGGTAATCCAAGGCCTTTACTAGCTCGGCATGGTGTTTATTCTTCTTATTTGTGTATTACCCCGGACAGACCAGATGTACCATAGTAGCCTCATCGCAGTCGGTGTGCGTCCATTGAGTCTTGTTCTTCACTCACGTACATGGACCTAGGTAGGTGTCCCATGCTGCTCACGTGGCAAATAGTAGGAAAAGCAATGAGAGTCGCAACGTCGCTGGTCGGTCACATGATAGTTCCACAACGACAAGGCGCTGGTCTAAACTTCCATTTGTCCGCCCTTGTAATCAAGAGATCTCAATCTTGCAAGCAAGTAGACAATTTGGCCAAACAGAGATCCCGCCACTGTCGGGGCAAGCAACAAGACACGTGTTGCTCGAGGCAAAGCCGCCAGGCTCATCACTCGAGAGCGGCTGGCCTTCATCTACTCTACACCCTCGCCAAGCAATACTGTTAACCATAGCCATTCCTTTCCAGGCAGCTAGGCCCTACAGGATATTGTGGCCCTCAGCAGGGTACGTCGGGTAGGGCAGACGGTGGAGCGTGAGACTATGAGCGTTGAAGTGCCGTTCATGTTTAATGGATGCTGGACTATGTAGCGGACGCCTTCCCCGCGAGCCACGCTACGGCTGATTCTCATGGCTGCCGCCACCCTTTACCTAGGTACTATACTGTTTGTCGAGAGGGGTCCAGAGATGACCAACCGGCACAATGCCGATTCCGACAGCCAGTAGGAGCATGCAGTTATTTCCGAGCTCCATTCTAGAAACGTTTCAATGCGTTCAACGAGACATATGCGTCTGTTGATTGTTCCTTATGCTACTATTATTGAATGTCATGTCCCATTCTAGGCTCAAATCTTGTTGTCCATTCGTGCCTACACCAAGGAATATGAACAAGTTGAGACTGTGCTATGGGTGAAGTTTTGCTTCTGGGGTATTGTTTGCTTTGGATTGTGCCACGAGATTCACCTAGCTCTATATGGCTGTGCTGGTTGAGAGGGCTATCCTGACTTGTGAACCTCATGATATGAATTAGCTCTGCATGGCACCAACTACCTAGGTAGATAGAACGCCATTGGTCACTCGTCTGGTCTATGCAAAGACGGAATTAATAGAGCCTCGGCTCTTTGGACGGACGGAGAGTATCTACCTAGGTAGTTGCCCGTTGGTAGATCACTAGACAAGCTACCCGGTAGCTCTTGGAGGTGTGTTCTCACCACTTGCATTCGTCCTGATCGTGACGGCATTTCCAAGGTCCGGTCGGACGACGATCTTTGCTCGTGTGGTAAGAGGCAAGCCTAGGAGGGAGAAATAGCATGGTGAACCCTTGGAGGATGATGGTACTTTCAATGGCTTTGGTTGCTCGAGTCGCTTAATTGACTTTGACATTATGAACTGTTTGTGATAAATCTTTGCCGTTAGCATCTGTACGATTATGCCTTGAATCCTTTAGCCCCGCCGATCCTGTTTTCTACTGCGGCACTCGTCCTCTCCGGAATAACCGACTGCAAAAGTCAGACTGATTCGTTGATCCGACCGAAGCCCTTCTCCCGATATGGAATCCTTCCTCGAAGTACACCCAGCTACCCCCGTTAAAATATAATTTTGGCCCTGGAGCCACACGCAATGTGCGATAGTAGGCAGGCCCATAGGCAGGTAAGCATAGAAAACGACCGTCACGACGAATGGTCTTGCACATCACCTTATTTCTCAAGTGTCGCACGTTGTTTGGCAGGGTCGAGTATCTGTGCAGTTGAATTCAATTTTGGTATATACCCATTCCCATGATCCGAACGCCTTACTATGCATGAATTGAATGCAGCTAGTCCAAATACTTGATTCTGCCGTCCATTCCAGCCACTGCGACCTTGCTCGTTTCTTGTGGATGCCATTGTACGCAAGTGACGGCCTGGTCGCTGACCTGCATCTTGTGGTACATCTTGCACGTTTTCCAGTCCCAGAAGCAGACGTAGCCAGCAGAGTCGCCACTGGCAAGGAACTGACCGTCGGAGCTGATGTCGATATCAATACCTGTGCCGGCATTATTGTGTCCTCGATAGCCCTTTTTGCGATTTTGGCGGAACTTGTCGGTTGCGCCATAGACCACAATTTGGTTGTCGCTCGACTGATATGCCACATACTTGCCCGACGGATGCCGTGCCGCCCGAGTCATTGGGTACATGTAGGGCTCAGCAATATACTTGATTGGAACGGGAATGTTGTAGTCCCAAGCGCGTAGCGACTTATCGTCCGAGGTTGTCATGAAGCGGCGGTTGTCATCCACAAAGACAATGGTGTTGATGGCGTTGAGGTGGTGGTCGTACTCTTGCACCACTTCCCTCGTCCGCGTGTCGAACTGGACGATCTTCTTATCTGACATACCAGCCAAGAACTCGTGTGAGTGCTCTGGGGAAGGGTTGAAGCGGATGACGTGTGGTGTCTTTCCAGTTGTAAACTTGTTGATGCATGCGCCCGTTTCCGTGTCCCAAAGCTTCATCATACGGTCGAAGGAGGCTGATAGGAATTGCGTACCGGATTCGTTGAAACAAATATCTGATACAGCCTTTGTATGTCCAGAATAAGTGCGTAATAATTCCCTTTGGTGATAGACGTCGAAGATCTTGACGGTGGCATCTGCGCCGGCCGATAGCAAGAGGTGTCCAGAGTGGGGGAAGAAGCGTAGTCCGGTGACTGCCTTGTCGCCAAAATCCTTCCAGGTATGTACCACCTTTTTGGGTATGTAGTTTGGAGTGCTGCCCAACTCTTTGCGTAGGTTGATATCCAGGTCTTGCGGAACGTGCATATATGTGCGGCCCTGGTAGTCATACTGAGACTCTCCATGGAACGTTGTGGTCTCATCGCCAAGCGCCTCGACTTCTTTCCTCCTTGAAATGGCCTCTACGGGTGCCGATACGACTGTACCACTCGCGACGACATCGTCTCCGTCCTCGTCTTCGTAGACATACTCGACTTCTTCGTCGGTGCCGATTTCTTCATCCTCTCCGACCTCTTCGTATTCTTCCCGCTTGTACTTTGCCCAGGGGCCAACGTAAGCACCATCTCCGTCGGCAATGGTAGCATCTCCCTTGCCCTCGCGGCCAGCGCGTAGCCTCTTGGCCTCTTGCTTGATCTGGGCGCCTGTCTGAAACTCTCTCTCGGGACCACCCCGCCGCTCGATAGCACGATGTTTGCTCCGAAAAGTGTGTTCGCTGACAAAGGTCTCCTCGGCGTTCCCGGTCAGGACGTTCTTGCGCTTCAGTGCACTCGCCTCGTCCTTGAATGGGTTCGTGGGGCCAAACTTGGGTCGTGTGAGTTCTTCGCCCGAGTACTTGACGACGGCGTGGGCGGGGCCGCTCTCCTCGCGCAAAATGAGGGCATCCTGAGATGCCATATTGGCGGGGTACTCCCCAAAGTCGGCCATCTTTGGTCGATTGCGCAGATTTCGATTGGGATGCAGGATTGCAGCCGCGTCTGTTGTTCAGAGTCAATGTTGAGAGTATGTAACAAACGAGGATATTGGCAGCTGATGATAATGACGTCGTAGCTGGCAGGCAGCTGTGGGCCAAATTGCTGCCACCCCCAGGTCGGACCTTCTTGACGGTGCAAGAATAGTACAAAATAGAAAAAACAACAACAACAACAACAACAAGGAATAACTAGAGTACACGGACTGGAGTGAATAAATTAACTCAATTGCCGCAATGGCAAATATCACGGGAAAATCAATATTTCCATGCCAGCAACACTTCTTGGAGTTTTCTAGAGCACATAAGCCTCTGCATGCCCAAGGTGGGTGTAGTACTTGACCACTGCATACTTAGAGACATATGACAATGGTGACGTACTGAGCGACAGTGAATCATTGGCAGATACGAAGAGGAGCTTCATGACAAACCATGTACGTACGCAATGCATCCGACGCGTCAAAACATTCCGATTTCTCTTTTCTCGTAGCAAGTTTGGTGGCGCATTCGGAAGGAGGGAAAACAAACCAAAACACTGCACTACTTGTCTGGTAGTAGATTTTCCACGTCATGAACAGCAAGCAAGAGCAAACAAGCAAGTAAACTCGACAACTCTCGTTGTCTAGGGTATTTGTCATCGCAATAGTCGGGTACCAGATAGCCGCACAACGCCGATATAAAGGTATACAAGTCTGTCCAGTCGCGTTTCGTTGCCTATATTCCTGATCCTCTTGGCAGCCCTTGGTTCAAGTTTCCTGTTCGTCTAAGTCGTCCATATCATTCATGCCACCACCTCGACTCTTCAGGTGGTATATTAATTACCTCCATTGCCCACAAAGTTATATCAACAACTTTTGCAAAGTCACCACCAACAACAGACGACTTTGGCCTTCACACCCCCCTGATGCTTCTTATTATATGTCACCGCCCACCGATGCGTGTCTGTCTGCTAGTCGCCCACCGCCAGATTTAGCTCCCTTCCCAACCGTAACTGTTCACCACGTTGCCGCAACCGGATCAGATCCAGACGCTATGTAGCTTTGTAGATGCCATAGTGAGAGGGGAATCGCGCCGGCAGGACTGCGTCGAGAGTGGTCTCGTTGTGAAGCGCTCGCTACGTAGACCGGGCGGAATCCGCGTGCCAGCTTAGTGGGTCTCGTCCCTGATAAGAGCGACAATCATGCTGTAGAGATAAAAGAAGAACATGATGAGATGAAAGCCGAGCTTGATGAAGGATTCCTTCTTGTGGACGTTGAGCTTGCGGAAAATCTCGGTGGCGTCCAAGAGGTGCGTATTCTCGAGGATCTTCTTGACGTTCCAGGCGAGCAGGGGCAAGTTGAGGATGAGAGCAACCCAGTATCCATTGATTAGGAACAGGAAAGTCAGGAAACCGTGCACAGCAGCCTCGGGGATGATGTAAGTGTTCAAACGGTTGCAGAGGTCGATCGGGTTGATATAGTCGCTGTTTGCGCGCAAAAAGGTCAGTATCGCCAGCCTCGAGCCTCGGGACGGAGATGGGGGTGAGTTTGTCGGGCAAGTAGGATTTGACTGAGACGGGGAGCGGTAGGGAGGGACCAAAGGGGGGCCAAGAGAGACGACTTACCACTCAAGATCACTGTACATGATAGTGAAAAAGACCTGAAGGAACAGGTTCACGGCGTTGATCAACACCGCAAACAGGTATAACCATGCCTCGCCCGACATTTTGATGTTGTACTGTTTATGGTTTGGATAAAAAGATGGGAGGAGACGGCGTCGAGAGTCCGCGGGAATAGCAGTCTTCTGTTGAACCCTTCACAATAGGACGACAACGGGTAGCGCAGAGGTGCTGAGAGTATGTAGGATGTATGTAGACTGCCTGATCGACCCGTTGGGAGCAAGATTGCAGCTGAGGGAGGAGCTTGAGGTGGTGTGTTGTGCGTGTGTGGGTGTGGGCGTGGGACGTGGATGTGTGGATTGTTGGTGCGGGCGGGCAAAATGAGTTGCGTAAGTATGGAGTTTGCAGTAGGTAATGTTCGAGTCGGCTAGCTACTAGGTAATAATGTAGGTAAGCTTGGGCAGGCTGCAGGTGGTGAGGTATATGGCTCCATGCGGATAGGCTGGGTTAGCAAGGGCCCGACCTGGACCCGACTGGATTGAACTGACCTGACCTCCAGGGCTGTTGGCTTTTGGAGGACGGTTCCTCCGATGATGAAAGCGGCTCACCCACTCGCGCAGATTGGAAAAAGGCCGCTTCCTCAACCTGAATACCAAGGAATCTTACTTCCACTTCCCACCTGTGCTTTCTCTCTTACCTGCAATGCATGTGAGACGAGGCAGCACATTGCAACGATGTCATTGTTCAATGAGTTAATAACTGAGCTTCTGCCTGGAGAAATATGATACCCAATACCTCGTCAATGTAAGGTACCAACTAATCTATACCTACTGTGTAGGTAGACAGACAGGCAGGGATTCCCATTACACCTACTACTAGCACGGAGCTCTCTTCATATGGCTCCCATAGTATTCCGTGGCTGGAATCGCGTCCCCACGAGAGCAACGGTTATTGGAGCTACTTCTTCCAAGTATGGTACATACTACGTACTTGTCCTAATCACCAATGTGATACTATGCATGCCTTGCACAGGGCAGGGTATGTATCATGTACATAGTTGTGACTGGACTGGAGATATACACACATGCACAGCTTGGCTTCTCGAGTGTCCGAAAGTGCTGTATGTAAGTGGAAAACTTACAAGTTTACCTATACAACAAACATGCTCGCTGGTAAAAGCTCCTAATCCCTGCATCTCCCAACTGGGTGGCGTTTGAGGTTTTGTTTCTAGCTGGGTCTCATAATTCATTGACCTAACCAGTAAGAGTTGAGCCGAAAGGAAAGTGCATGTAGCATAGACAGATCTGGCTAATGACGGGCGATTGGAAAGTTGGGATGAATAATGAAACAATGAAACAGCGTCCTTGATCATGAATTTTATCGAGCTCTATATTCAATAGGCACCAGGTCCATCCGTTGAGCTCGCTCTGAACCTTTGACAAAGGCATGGGCATACTCATTGATTCACGCAATATACTTAGCTTTGCTTGGCTACTTGAGGTGTGTTTGTGGTTGTCTAAATTGCAGCATCCCGTCAATGGCACAAACTACCTACTCTCACACGCATCCCAGCATCTAGATCCAGTGGCATTTCAAATATCCCAAGCAAAGACAGAGAATGTCTTGTTGATCACTGCATCGCTTTCCCCTGTGCCTGATGGATCGTACAGGACACCGCTACGTGTCTACAACTCCCCCACGGGTCCAAAGACGTTCTGTGTTTTCGGCACTTATTACCAGAAAGGTAAACTTCATGGAATGCACGCGTGTAAGATGAAGTGCCGCGTAGGTAAACCAGATCATGCTCCAAACAACAGCTCATATTGCACTATCCGCTGGTCCCGTTCTCAACCGGTGCAGGTATAGGGATCGGACCTCCCGGGGAGCTCTCTTGCCTGGCGGTCAGAATTTCTACACCAGTCTCTGTCACGAGTAGAGTGTGTTCTGAATTTTGCGGTCAGCCAAAATAATTTGTTTGCAGGAGGATTTGAAAAACATGGGAAGACGGTATGACGATTGCGCCCGAGGCGCGTGTAGCAAACTTACCAAATTGGGCAGTCTTCTTGCCGTCAATAGTCGTACTGGTCCAGTTGTCCGGCCAGGTCACATCACGATATTTGCCAAGGGCGATCATGGGCTCGATGGTGAATGTCATGCCCGGCTTGCACTCTCCCACTGCCTTGTTCTTTGCATAGTGAGGCACGTTGGGTGGGCAGTGGAAGATGCTGTTGATGCCGTGACCACAGTAGGTGCGAATGACGCTACAATCCCTCTCCTTGGCATGCTTCTCAATCACATTGCCAAAGTCTCGAATCAACGCGCCCGGCTTTACGAGCTCAATCGCCTTGTCCAAGCACTCTCGCGCTGTCTCAACCACCCTCACGGCATCGGGGTCGGCTTTGGCACGGTCGCCTACGTAGTACGTCTCGTTGAGATCGCCGTGAAAGCCCTCGTGGTAAAGGGTCACATCGAGGTTGATAATGTCGCCGTCTAGGAGAATGCGCTGATCCGGGATACCATGACAGATGACCTCATTCGGCGAAGTGCAGATGGACTTGGGGAAATGGTTGTAGTTGAGAGGAGAAGGGTAGGACTGAGATGGCATCATTAGTTCTTGTACCATTCTTCTTTTCCCCCAACAACGACTTCGGGGCTTTTCCTTTCCCCTGTTTGCTTACATTGCGTTCAATGCATGCCTTGTGGCAGACCTCGTCCAGGTAATCAGTGGTAATGCCAGGCTTCAACTCGGCAGCCACTATATCCAACACTTCTCGGGCCAATCTGCAGACCTTGCGCATACCCTCCTGCGACTTGGCATCCAGAATCTCAAACTTGTTCCTGTTGATCAGGCGGGCGCTCTTTGGGATGCCCGTCTCGGCATAGTCGGGATGTGGTATCGACTTGGGCACGGTGCGCTTAGGCGACAGCGGATAGACAGGTCGTAGAGATCCGGTGAAGGGATACGAAGGGAACGGGTTGAAGAAGCCAGTTGCTGGATCAGGTTTAGAGACGACCTTCGGAGGGAAAATGCTGTGGAGAATACCGTTCTGAGTCTTGCCCTGCGCAGTCTTGTGCATCGACTTGTGGTCGCCCTGTACGCATTTTTCTGGTTAGATGCAGGAAGCTCATTGACGGGGAGGGGGGAGAAGCCATTTGGGGGAACGCGAGAGCTGAGAAGGAACGAGATGGAGTCATGATGCATACCCAATTTTTCTTGAAGCAGTCCTGGGAGCAGAAGAAGCTGTCCTTGATTCCCAGCTTCAAGCAAGTCGGGCACTGCAATGAACCAGCATCGTTTTCGCAGTCGGCGCCGAGACACTTCTTCTTAGCCGGAGGTTCTGTGTCGGTCATGATCGCGGGCGTTTGTGGGTGGATCGTGACGTCGTCCTTTGATAGAGAAGAGGAGCAAGTTGGCCGGCAAGGTCCTCAAAAAGGTCAACAAGGCGTGAGGCTGCTGTGGAAAGGAACGGGAAACCAGTAGTAGTTCACCGTCTTCGTTTGGCTGCTTTGGTCCAAATCTGTATTTCTCGGCGGCCCGGGCAGTCGGTCGTAGAGGTGCCGTACTCAAATGAATGGGGGGTTCCTAAACGGTTGCCCCACCATAAAATTCATCCCGCCCAGCTTGTACCTAATAGTGACAACACTCCAGAGCTGGAGCTCGAGGGACACTAAATTGGGGGGGGGGGCAAGCAAGACAGGCTAACACTACCTAATGTACAGGCGGGATGAAGTTCCTAACACCACCTATGTACTACTACTGTATGTCTTTAGTGGGATTCAGTGTTCGGCTTTGGGCGGCCCAAGCCCGGGGAGTCTGCGAACTTGAATCATCACCACGCCTTGCCGCTATATGCCGAGTCAGAACAGACAGACAGACAGACAACAACAATTTGCAGCAAGATTCTTGCCGAGACATATCTAAGAACAACACCAGTCGTTTGTCAACAACAGATTGTAGACTGCCTTTTCTGGTGAGTAAGCTCATTATAACGCTGTTTTTGGCAGCATGGTCACCGTACTCGAGCCAGACAGAACCTGACACGACGTATCAAGACAGAAACTCTGCTGGGTTCATCTCCGAATTCGCTCAACATCAAAACCCAGCAGCAACTATTTACACTTTTACCATATACCTACCTATACATACTTGTCTCCGTGCCCTATCTTTAAATTCTAGAGCCAGTACCATTCACTTTACAGATTCATTACTTTTTTCCTCAATTGGACGTGTCGTGCTGTATACCATCATGGCTCGCCAGCAAAAGTTTGTCGTGGTCGGCGCTGGACCTGTAGGATCATTGGCTGCTCTCTATGCTGCCAAACGTGGCCACGATGTAGAGATATACGAGTTGAGGAGTGGTAGGTGCACATACACTAGTTCTAGACCTTATGCAGCGACCAGGCGAGATGGACGACATCTACAAGTCGATCCTATGAGCTCTTGTGCTGACACGAACGCACGGCAGACCTCCGGGATCCCTCCACGATCCCGCTCAACTTCACCAAATCTATCAATCTGGCCCTTTCAGAACGGGGCATTAATGCCATGAGCAATGCAGGATCTGAAAGGCTTCTGCAGCATGTCAAGTCGGCTACTATTCCAATGGAGGGCCGCATGATCCATGGCAAGAAACCGTCTGGTGATCTATACGAAGAGGCACAGCTTTATGATATTCATGGAAGGGTAAGACGCTCGCTTGCTACTCGGCTCGATACTCGATGCGTGGCCGGTCACTCACCAGTTTTCAGACAATCTTTGCTGTCGACAGAGCAGACCTTAACAAGCGTCTCTTGGACATCTTGGAGAGCATGCCGAACGTGAAATTCTTCTTCAACCACAAGCTCACGGGAGCCGACTTCAAGAACCAAAAGGCATGGTTTGAGAAGCGAGGCCCTAAGGGAACATTGGGTCGCGGAGAGGAAATAGAGATTGATTTTGACTTCATGATTGGTGCAGACGGCGCTCACTCTGCAGTACGATACCATCTGATGAAGTACGTTCGCATGGACTATCAGCAGACGTATATCGACACCAACTGGTGCGAGTTCACCATTCAGCCAAATGCCGCCGCTGCTGGTGATGGCTTCAAGGCAAAGTTCAAGATCTCACCACATCATCTTCACATTTGGCCTGGAAAACAATTCATGTTCATTGCGATACCGAGCGAGGTTCGTACACTCATTCTAGCCTTACTTCCTGCACGTGAACACTGGCAGACGCATTTGGCAGTCACATGAGCCACATGTCGCACTCAGGCAGAGCTGCAAAAAGCACATGAGGACTTGCTGACACCGACTTCTAGGATGGCTCTTTTACGTGCACGCTCTTCATGCCTAGCGGCAATTTTGCAGAGCTGGAGGCCGATTCATCAAAGATCCCAGACTTCTTTGATCACCATTTTCCCGGAGTCACGTCGCTTATACCCCGGGATGAGCTCATTTCTTCCTTTGTAACCAACCCTCATCTTCCTCTTATCAGCATCAAGTGCACGCCTTACCACTTTTCGAGTTCGGTCGTGGTTCTGGGCGACGCTGCACACGCCATGGTCCCCTTTTATGGGCAAGGAATGAATGCAGGCTTGGAAGACGTGTATACACTCTTCTCGATACTCGACAAGCACAGTGCCCAGGAAAGCAATGACCCTGAAGACCGGTCCTCAACCGATTCAAACATCCAGCGAGCCTCGGCGTTGGCCGAATACTCCGAAGTGCGTACACCAGACGCGCATGCCATCAACGACCTAGCACTACAGAATTATATCGAGATGCGCGCATCCGTCTTGTCGCCGACCTACCGGCTGCGGAAATCGCTAGAGGAACTGTTGTCCAAGTATATCCCAAGTCTGGGGTGGCAGACCAAATACTCGCGCGTCAGTTTCTCCAATGAGAGATACTCGGAGGTGATTGCCAAGAGTGATCACCAAGGTAACGTGCTTATCCGGGTTCTTCAAGTACTCCTTTTTGGTACACTGGCAGGCAGCGCAGTTGGTCTTCGATACTGGCGAAGCCCAGGCTCTCTCAGCTTGGCGCGGCTCGTTGGTAGCCTAAGAAATCTCTCGAGATATTAATCCTTGTTCCAGGATGTCATGTATGCAATCTTGGCGTCAATTATGGTAACAGAAGACACACAATGTATTATTCTAAGTAGATGTGACGCATCGGGCAAGCTGTGGTTCCCCTTGTGACTGGCGTAGATCAATACAGAGTACGTAGAAACTCACGTGCTCGCCGATATCATACCCAGAGTGCTCTCCTGGAGGGAGACGCAAGTAGCGCCTACGTTCAAGCCGGAGGCTGAATCGGAGATAGTCCATCATCGTAATTTGTCCCAAATGCTTGCGCCAAGGCTGCGCAGGCATCGTGAACTAGTTTTTGTCCTACTTTGTGCAGGCTGCAGTACACGGCAAAAAGGGTTGTCAATTAGCTCGTTCGATCTCGCCGTCACAATAAACAAACTTGAAAGGCGAATGAGATGCTTACCCTGCGAGCACCAAGATACTGTGTGTGCCACCCTTGTATATCTCGACCCGAGTTGAGACACCTGCATCCCTCAGACTCTCGCCAAATTTCATGGCTTCCGGTGCAAGTAGGTCGCACTCTGAGACTGCAATAAAAGTTTGTGGACTCTTGGCCAAGATTTCCGTCGGCGCAAAGCACGGAGATGCATCCCAGTTTGCTGCCTCGGATGGAGACGAGAAATACTTTTCCCGATACCAAGTCATGCGCGAGGGCGTGAGCCAGGGGGCATTGCGAGAGCCATACCATGCAGTTTCAACAGTTGCAGTATTGTCAATCACCGGGCAGAGCATCATTTGGAAGATGGGCCTTGGCCAGATCCCCACGTGCGAAACCTTGAGTGACAAGATTGCTGTCAAACAGCCGCCGCTGTATGCATATTGTTAGCCACCTCATTGCTTTGATACAGGTGAGCATTGATGCCATTGTCGGTCCAATGGAGAGTCTACATACGCTGACAGGCCCCCTATTGCTACCTTTGATGTGTCAATATTGAGCGTGCTCGCATTCTTGGGATCCACGATCCATTGGTATCCCGCGAGCACATCGGTAGCAGCAGCTGGATAGACGTGCTCAGGAGCATGTCTGTAGTTGACTGAAATGACTACACAATTCACGACTGCGTCATGTCTGGATCAGCTCCCTGGAGGGCAATGGTGGCGCCCATGTCGAGCAAAATGAACAGATAATGAAAGATGGCAAAATCCTCTCTGGCCGGATAGTTTTACTCACATTTGCAGATATGGCTTAAGAAACCGTTCTCGCTACTCAGCCCACCCATTACCCATCCACCTCCATGGAACCAGATGAGCACCGGCCACCCACTTTCTGGTGCATTGCCCTCTGGTGTAAACACCCGGACCTGGAAAGTTCCAAGATCTTTGTCATACACAGAACTTACTTTGACCAAGCCCTGGCCACCGAGAGCCAACGGAGACGGTCTATTCCGGCTGTTGGGATCCCAAGCTTCCGCTTCGGACGGGACTACGTACTGAAGATGCTCGTCGTGAAAGGCGACATATTCAGGGTCCAGGAGAGGTCGAAGTAACGGATGAATCGGTTGATATGCAGTCCGCGCCTCGGCCTCCATGGCGTGTTATGGTATTGGTGCTGTGTGTCAAAAGAAGTCTCTCAAAGTGTAGTCCGATTCTAGCTCCACGCCGAGTGAGCCAACTTTGGTGGCGGATGATAGGGTCTCTTCGTGAGATAGAATCAAGGGATAGTTGCTTTAGATGACCTATGAATGTGCATGTTAGAACATCAGACGAGGGTAGTACACTGATTTATATGTCCTTTTGCATCAGCTTACATGCCGGCAGTCACTGGGGGAGTTTGCCTGCCGGAACCGCCGAGTTCACTATCGGAGCTCCACATGAATGGCCGAAGCAGCGCGGCCGGCTGGCAAAGAGTTGGTTATTGGCCGAACGTATGGTAATTCGACCAATTCACGATCCATTAACAAAGGTATGATCAAAGTCACGTGGAGATGTTGTCATTCCGTATCTGGGTGTGACAGAACATTTCGATTTGGATGTTGATAATATAAGTCTTGACTGTTGCTAGATGATACACTTTACACTGAAAGAATCAAGAGCGAAAGTTGATCTTTGCGTGCAGCTACTGCATGGTATCTCCAAAGTAGTTTGACTGCTTGGTTTCATATTCAGTCGCTCGTGAAGGAAGGCATAGGTAGGATGCGTCTAGACGATACATCAATATTGGCAATCATTCTGAATTTCGATTCAGATTAAAGTTGCAAACATGTGCTCTGTGTAAGTGTCTTGATGTATTCTGAGATGGGGCCTGAATTCGATATCGGCAAGGGCAAATAAAGTAAAACATTGAACAAGTGCTCCTCACACGTCACTGCCTCTAACGGTGGGTGGGATGACGTTGATGTGGTTGATCGATGCAGTATGTGCTTCTGGGCCAACTAGGTAGGTATGCAATGTACGTTGATTGGTTGGACATCGCAAGACACAAATGGAAGAAATGGTGCTTGTACCTGATGTACCTACAGCACATGTACTATATAACCTCTCCCTCCCCCTCCCCCCAGAATAGTGCGGGTCAAGCTGGACTGCTGCAATGCAATCAATCTGCTGGCCGAGAGTCGGTAACCGGGTGCGGTGCGGCTCTTGGAGCGGGAATGGGAATACATGGGGACGGGGATCAGGTCAGTCGCGTGGTGCGGCGGACTACGACTACTACTACTACTACTACCACCACCGTAGTGGGAAAGGTCAGTTATGTTGGTAGTAGGAAGGCACCTTGAGTGTTATGAAGGGCTAAATATGTCGCGTATGCAATCTACCCACCTATGGCGTCAACTGTCGTGTCGGAATACCTCGTTCTCATCATGAATGCTCGCCCCATGAGATTGCGTCTTATATGCTGGTTAGTCCTACAGTGGCCGGCAGGGGCTGTTAGGTAGCATGTGGAATCCGAGAATTGTTGGGTGGGTTTTTATTTTCGGAAGTGATAAAATTATCAATCTACCTACTAATGATACTACTCCCTAGTCCAGATCTAGTTGAGCTGCGGTGGTGCGGCCGATTGTGAGAGGTTTTTCTTTTTTTGAGCAATGCCACTAACAACATACTTTACTGTGCTATAATGTACATGAGGATAATGCGTAGCAGTCGAACTAAGAAGAAGCAGCTCATAACTGTATTGCCCTCGAGGAGAGGGAGAGAGAAAAAGAAACGGCAGACGACGAGCGAGAGCCAGTATCTGAGGTAATGAATGTCACACTATTCAGCTGCTGTGAGGTCGGCATTTCATTGCGGTTAGTGCCGATGATGGCTAGAGACGAAACCCCGGATGAATCCGCCATGATGAGGAATCCATCTCTTTGGACTTGGTCACGATTGAGAAATGTGCTGGGATGTACGATATAGGCTGGTGGTCAGTGGTAAGTAGGTAGGTACACAGGAACAAGTACTTGGCCAACGTCCAGTCTGTGCTGGGATTGGTTGAGCCTCGGGCATGGCTGGAGTTTGAGTATTATGGATACTCAATGATTCCAGTAGCCAAGCTAGGTACGGAGTACAGTCTTGATCCCGCCAGCATATACATTTGAGAGAAGGGGACGTTTGGAAAGAGACAAGGAGAAATATTACATCCTGGTGAAATGTACCTTGTTATTGTACACCGGTGACGAATGGGAACATTTCAATCAGATCATTATTGTTTACATTGGTATGCTCGTAACAGATATTTGATATTGAATTTCCGTTTCGAGGACCCAAAGCCGTCGTCATTGGCATCATCAAGGGAACAAGGAAGGG